ATAAACCGATATCGATTAATCGATAAACTGATAACAAATAATCGATTTGATTTATCGATAAACCGATTCGAATTCACACCCCTAAATTGTACTCAAGCTTAAAACACAAGCGAGCAAAGATTCGAGAGAAGGCAAACTAGGAACCAATTGGGACGGGCCATATAAGATCACGACAGCAGCAAACAAAGGATCTTTTCAACTAGAAACTATGGAGGGAAAACTACTACAAAATAATTGGAACATCGCCCATCTCAAACACTTCAACTTTTGAAAATAGACGCCCTCCGGGTCGTACTATTTTTCCCTCATCCGAGTTTTGTCCCAATTGGGTTTTCTCAGAGAGTTTTTTAATGAGGCGACAAAGCGGACGTTTCGAAGTTCAAGTATAATTCATCGCCCCTCCTGCCGACTGCTTCTCCAGGACGAACGATGAAGGGACTGGATACATGGAAACTTCTCCAATATATGTATGAAATGAAGGACATATGTAATATTCTCCAATGAATGAAATAAAGCATCATTTTTACTCTCTACCAAGATATTCTCCAATGAATGAAATAAAGCAGCATTTTTACTCTCCACCAAGTCTTTTCGCATCTTACACTCGACCTTGCTCGAATTATTTTACATTCGACCTCGCTCGAGTTGTTTCACATTCGACCTCGCTCGAATTATTTCACATTCGACCTCGCTAGAATTGTTTCACATTGGACCTCGCTCGAATTATTTACATTCGACCTCGCTCGAATTGTTTCACATTCGATCTCGCTCGAATTAATTTACATTCGACCTCGCTCGAATTGTTTTACATTCGAACTCGTTCGAATTGTTTTACATTCGACCTCGCTCAAATTGTTTAACATTCGACCTCACTTGAATTGTTTCATATTCGACCTTGCTCGAATTATTTTACATTCGACCTCGCTCGAATTATTTTGCATGCGACTCCGCTCGAAGTCTCCAATGTCCGACCGCTTCGAAAATCAATCTTATCAAAAAATCAGGGACTTCCCCACATAACAAAAAAAGAGAGAGATCGAAAATCAAGCAACACGTAGCAAAAAAAGGGGGGGGGGGTTGTTCCATTACAACTATCACGTTACAATACTTTTTACAAAGGGCCCAAAGACGCCCTCACAAAAATAGCAAAATAGACAAAAACTAAGTATGACGGCTTTACGCCGCGTCATCCTCATAGGCATACTCATCATCATACCAAGAATAGGAGGCAAGCCTATCCGCATCATCATCAACGTCGTCCCCACCAGGTGTACCAGAGGCATAACCGCAAGTTTCACGGCCCGCACTTGCCTTAGCATGAACGCCCTCAAGTTCTGCTTTGCAAATCTTCCCGCCGATTTTCAAAGACTTATATACGTCAAGCTGAGCCTCGGTGTGAACCCACATCTCATACAACTCCCGCGGCACGCCGGGATCGGCAGAAGTATGAGACGTGGACAACTGTGACTACCGTCGCACCTCCTCAGTTTTTAAGGTAACGACCTGCTCGTTCAATCCGGATAACTCTTCCTCCAAATTCTGGATTTGTTCCTCTAACCTCGCCACCATAAGTGCCGATGTCTCTGCCTCGCTTTCCTGCTCGGACCTGCAAACGCGGAGAGCATATTCTAAGGCCGCCGCTTCAGCCGCAGCGGCCACTCCGTGTTTCTCTGTACGAGCTAACTCTTCGGCCTTGGTGCTCAACTCACCCCGCAGATCAACAGCATTCGCTTCCCTCAGCCCAAGTTCAGCATTAAAAATGCCAACCGCGCTTGAAGATCGGCATTCTCAGCCATCACCCCTTTACTCACCTCAAACTCGTCATCCTTGGCCTTTAGAGTTGCCTCGAGCTCACTACATAGACCGATGGGTCTCGTTAGCTCATCATCCCTCTCCTTTAGCTCTTCATCTTTCTTCGCCAACTCCTCGTCATTCTGTTTGAGCCCGTCGCAAAACAAATGAAACTCGCTATCCTGGGTAAAAACATCGGCCAGTGTTCGGTGCCTTGTACTATACTCCTTGTACTTGGAAGTCACCTTTTTAAAGAGGGCCGTCCTCTGCTCTTCCCTCCATTCATGCTCAATCCCCATGATAAGAGTCTGACATGCAGAAGAAAAGAGTCAGTATGAGCAGATTACACATACATAACAAATCCTAACATTAAAAAGCACTTACTCGCTGAGCCATGCTAGATATACCCAACGATAACTCGGCATCGCTCATCGCCTACAGCGCCGTGTTCTCAGAAGCTTCACACAAGGGGGCAAAACACGGCACCGCCCGTTCCGAGTTGGCCAAAAGGTCATAACCCACGGGGATGATTACGTGCTGGTTGGGACCCTTCGTCCTTACCTCCACGCAAATGTTCCACTCCAAGATATCTCTTCAAGGTCAATGTCCGAACCAGAACTGTCATCCCCCGCAGGTACCGTTCCATCTCCCTTGGCCGCCGACGACTCGCCACCTTCCGTGGTCCTTATAAGTTCCCCGGCTTCGTGCACCTCCTCGGCCCTAGAGGACCTCCTCTCCATAACGGCATCCGCCATAAAAACGGCCCCTACGTCTGGTGCAAGTGCAGGCGCCGCTTCCGGAGCAATAAGTTTCTTCGGCTCAATATCAGTTATGACGGCCTTCCCAACTCCACCCTTCGCCTCTTTCTCGATGGCGACTCCTCTCCATTAAACGACTCTTCTACAAGATAGTAGATAGGACGGGAAGAGATCTCATCCTGGACAGCAACATTCTGAGGGGCGGAATCCCTTGGTGATAGAGCTTGAGTACGACCCCTGCGAACGGACTCGGCCAAAGCAAATTGCATCCCTGCGGATGCGATAGCCTGGCGAAATGCCGGCACTGGAGCTTTCTTCTTGGAAACCCGTCGACCTGGCACCAAAAGGAGGTCGTATCAACGAGCAATGGCAAACAACAGAGAGTTGAAACAAAAGTAACACTTACTAGACAGGACCTTCGGTCCGAAGCACTTGTAGAAAATCGCCCAATCACGAATCCCCGCCATGTGAGGCAACACGTGAGCCACCTAATCTTCAATGTCGAGGACAGGGGAGGATGCACGCCTTTCAGCTGAAAAACAAAAAGACCCCAAATGAGCCGAAAAAAAGGACAAAAAAAGACAACGAGCGTATGACAAACACTTACGATTATAGTTCTACTACTCGGGAAACCCAGTCGGGTCCACCACCAAGTGCTCGGCATTAATAAAAAAAGTACTTATGCCAGAACTTTCGATTCGTCTTATCGTCCATTCCGACTATCAGCCCTCTGGTCCCGCGATGTCGTAGGTGTATCATAGTACCTCTATAAAAAATTGGTGAAAATAAGTGCAGCAAATGACGAACATCGACCTCACAACCAGCCATTCTGCGTACTTCGTCAGCATCAGAAAAGCTTTATACAAATAAGGAGAGAGTTGTGCCGGGCAGACATTGTAAAATCGGCAAAATTCCTCCGCTAGTGGAAGAAGAGGAAGAGTATAACCGATCAAGAACGGGTAGACATAGAAGGCACAATACCAAGGTCGATGGACCTCCACGATGTTGCCACCCGGAATTATCTCGACGTGGGGAGATGCGATATTTGGATCAAAGCTCAGCTATATAAAAAGGACCAGTCTCGGAGATCACCTGAGCAGGAGCGGGAGTAGGCTCCTTGGGAAAATAATTTCTAGACAAAGGGTTTCTGGGAACTATCTGCTCCGCGGTAGGAAAGCTCTCATCCTCTTCAGCCATAAATTCCTCACCATCGGGAGGAGGAGCCACCGATAACGGAGTGGCATCGGAAAATTCATCATGAATGCGAAGAGTTTGTCACATGTTTCGACAATGAAATGTGTTCTACCAAACCCAAAGAAGAAGATAACAACTAGGTAAGGAGGAGAGGAATGGAATTGGAAAAGCAAAATCAAGAGCAGAAACTGGCAAAGGAGATCAAAGAAGAATAGTGCTCACGCAAGGCAAAGGATGGTGAAAACTTTTGAAAAATGAAACCCCCATCTATTTATAGGGCTGGGTGGCGTGAGAATCGAAGTAAAGGATTGTCTATGCCACTAAAACCAAAGCGGCAGGCACACAGACGCTATCTAGGGAAGATCCGTAATGATGACGTGCGTGGCCATGACGTCACCCCCCTTGTAGCCACACCAATCACAACTTCACTGGTTGCGCCGTTCTCTCCACCTCGACCGACCCGACTTATTCAACACAACTAAATTTTTCCAAAATGGAGGTGAATCAGGTCCGCTTATCGAGGGCGTGCAGGACCACGACCTTAACAAGCGGAGGGACTAACTGTATTGGTCTAAATTTAGCGACTTGGCAATCATGGATAAGCGAGACCAAGGACGGGGTCGACCGCGGTGTAATAGCAGAAGGCTGCTCTTGAAAGGGCTGATGCCAAAGATGGGCAGCTGAGATGAAGAAATAACGGTAACATAGGTTCAGATATGGACACAAGGAATATTCCTTTGGATATTCCTTGTTTTGTACTTTTTAGGATTTCTGGGAAATATCCCTTATAAATAGGAAGATATAGAGAACAAAAATGGGGATCTTCACTTTATGAGAAAAACACATTGTAAAAGGTTGACCTGAGAGAATATACAACAATTGTCTTGTTCATTGATTATCTTATTCAAGCATACGTTTTTGCTTCTTATTCACAAGATCCAAAGATTCCTCAACCCTCTTTATTTTTCCTTTTTCCACGCTGCTGTCAGGGAAAAGAGCCATCCAAGTCTTACAATAATTGGGTGGTAGATTCCTTTTTGTTATATTCATTGCCATTATCTACATTTATTGCACATTTATGTTATTGCATTCATGAGCATTTAATCAGCACGAACACACTGATTAACGTTGTTTATCTTACCGACTTCACATAATATTTGGTCTAGATTTTATTATTCTTAACTAAGATTCACCCTTCATCTCATTATTAATTGGTTTAACTAAAAGGTTCAACACTTTTTGGTCAAACATATACAATTGAAAAAAGATGCTCTTCACTTGCCTTCATATCTCAACCCTTGCATATATGATATAACATAGAAAAATGGATACGGTTTACAACTTAATTAAAAAACATAATAGGATTTGGATTAGGTTGTTGGCACAACTCTTGTTGGGATTTGACGTAGTAGTTGTTGTACTGAAAACAGTCTGATCAGCCTGTGATGTCCTCCCTTGGGGGAGTTTTGAATCACCTGCTTGTTCAAGAATCGGAGGATGAAAATGCTAAGCTTACTGTTGGTTGACAGACGATTGTTGTTGCAAGACCAAAGTGGCATAGATTAGCTCATTCCATGCATCAGGGACTCCGGGGAGACACCAATGGCTACAATCTTGCTTCACCTTTCTACCATTACTAGCAACCCTCCCATATACTGATGGGTGCCCATCCTTGCGAAAATTTGTTAACTGTGTTACATTCAAGAGGACAACAGGAAGCTGCATTTCCTTGATTACCTCCTCGACAATCTTCATTTTCATAGGGTAGTTACCAAGGATGGCCCCAGTCGAAACAGGTTCACTCTCTTTATTACAGGAGCCACCTGAATCCCAATCTCCGCCTCTGTTTACAAGGATTTAAATTGAAATAAACTTAAACATGCTAGCCAAATTTTGAAAAATATGACTTCCCGAATTGCATGAATGTAGAATTACAGAAACAGTGCAGATCAATCCACTTGAGATCAGACAACCAAAGGGAAATGCTAGTGAAGGCCAATATTATCATTCCCAAACACGATCATATCTTAAAGCACAAGTACCTGAAGTGAGCTGAAGAGTATCCACGATATATAATCAACTTTTCATGACTCATATTTTCATCAATCCACTTAGCCCACGTCTTCAACGCTCTCCTGTAAGCTTCAACGGCATCAAATTTAGGGTAAACATGATCACCTTCTTTGTAGTAATTTTTCCTGCAGAGTCCAATCTCCATTTAGTCGAACAAAAAATAATAAAGTGGAGATAATTTATTTTTATGGTAGTTGCACGCTAGTACTTAATTAGTTTTCAAGATAGCTAGTAATGAGTTTTACATACAGTAGAAATCAACCAAAAAGAAATTTTTTGTTAATGAGACATATTATGTATATGTCTCTTGTCACATAAGGCTCGAGAACCTTGAAGTAAGCATAATGCTCTCTTGTCACATAACAAGGATAAGTAAGTTGATTCACTCGCTCATAACGTTTCCAAACTATCTCATCCAAAAACAAGAAGAGGCGGAAGCTAAAGAAAAGAGACACTTATGTTCTAATTGCAATGTAGCATCTATGTTGCATCTCAGCAGAGAGAAAATGTAAAGCTCACACACCCTCTGGCAGTCTTTCCATGTGTCCACCAATGCCCCGTATTGAAGACCACAATGTCAGCTTTCTTCCAACGGTTAGATGATTTGTCGATGCGATCTATTGATAGAGTTGGATTCGAGTTCCCTTGAGCATTGGTACGTACTCCTTCTCTAACAAGGAAATGAGAGCGCACGAATTCTACTGTGCAGTTATAATCCTGCAAAACCACAATATTTTAGTCCTCACTGCTCTCTTTCCTAGAAGAAGCTTTTGCAACATTTCATCATTTTAAGTTGTAGAAAATCTACCAGACAGAAGGATAACTCAATTCTCTTGCCATCAAATAATTGACCACAGAGATAACAACGGACTCAAGTAGACAAACTCTATCTTTTTCTCTCTCTATATACACACACACATACATATACAGAAGAGATCTTCAATCGATACAAATGCTGTCAATTTTGGTGGAATGAAATTTCAATAAATTTTAATGTAAAATCACCTCAAATTTGAAAAAAATTCAATAAATGTTAATGTAAAATCACCTCAAATTTGAAAACATAGTAGCCTCTTCCTTTTGTTATCTTATATCCATGGATCTCGTACATTTTACTCTTATTAACGAGGCCTTCACGAAGAAGGCAAAGGAGAGATTCAAACTGGTTCCGGTTCATTGAGTCTCCAACCAACATCAGCTTCTTTCCTTTCAATCTCTTCAAAAAATCTGTTGCACTAAACCTACAAATATAGAACTGGTTTAAGGATACAAATGCTATAAGTACTCTCCTGAATCAACAAACGACCAGATTTTCATGATCCGATTCAGCAACGAGATGTAAGTTATATGAATCAGCAGAATAGTTGATCGCGAGTTAAAACCCTATAGAGAATACGGGGTGATTGGTGAGACAGCCATAGCTTCTCCAGTAGCGAAAACAAATGTTATGAACAAATGACAACATTTTTTTTATGAAGATGAACATTAAGAGTTTAAGACAACATAAGCTTAGGAAAAAATAATTTTCTCATAGCTAGCCTCTCGTACATATGTTTCAGTCAGATCGCTTGATTGAACAAAGCCAGGTAACTCTTAATTAGTTTTGGTTAATATGCAGAGCACACCATTGAAAACAACTTTTACTAAATTGAAACTCCACCCTTAATATTTTTAACTATAATTAACCTTACAAAAACGAAGAGAAGAAGACTATTACACAAACAGGATTATAGACCGGAAAACACAATACAGAAACAAGAATACATCCTCGGGAATGCCTCCACGGCTATGGTCTAGTCTGAATGTCAAATGGAAAGACTTATAATAGTAGAAACTTTTGTTTTATAAGTATAACAAGAAATTAGGTGGATTGATAGATAGTCTTTGCTAAAAGAGTAAGAATTGTTGAAATTTCATTCCACTTTAATTAACAACATGAGCAAATTGCAAACTTCCTTATAGTGTTTTCCTCCAACACCACAAAAAAAAAAAAGGAAATGTTCGTCACAACTACTTTTTTGTATATAGACAAGAAAGACTTTGAAATTCAAAAGATTCAGTTTTCTGTTTTGACATAACAAAAGAAGGAACAAGAAATACAAGCAATCATCTATCCCACTAAGAGACTTAAAAGCTAACGCAGAGACTCAAAATCTGTTAATGCTTTCTGGTTATAATAAGTAATTCGCACAAAGTAAAATGAAAGGTGACAGATAATTACAGTTTAAAGCACCTCTAGACACAGATAAGACTATATACCGTGATCAAGTTGGTAACTAAGCATAATGAAATCAAATATGAAAAGTATAACTACTTAATATCCTTTTTGCCTTTTTTGGGGGGATTTTTTCTTCTATCTAGGAGTGGTAAGATGAGTTGTTCAAGAGTAGCAAAATAACATTGATAATTAGTAATGACCCTAGACTATATCAGAAATGGAAATGCAGAAACAGGAAAATATCATCAGAGCTGGCAACGCCCTATCACCAAAGATAAAGAGTTTTAAGTTACTCTTTCTAAGATCATGTCCACTGTTCTTTAGCAACGTAAAAGATCCTATTGTAAGAAATATAATCTAGCTTTCTATTTAAGCATAACAGCTGAAGGACATTAAGGGCAGGCCTTAAGGGGAATCAAAAATAGGTGTAACGTGTGAAATTTTACAGCAAATTGGTTTTAAGGAAGGTGCTATAAATGGTATAGCCATCAGAATCTCAATATTGCTATCATTTAAGGAAGATACTCTGGAAGCAAAGTTCATCTATTTTCATGGAAACAGGTTTAGTGCAACATCTTCAAACATGACAAAATTACCAATTATGGAAAAAGAATCTATTTGGAGTGTAAAAGCACTAAAAAGGAATCTCAAGATGTTGCACAATAATAAACATATGACAGAAAAAAGGGACAATCCGGTGCACTAAGCTCCCGCTATGCGCCGGGTCCGGGAAGGGCCGGACCACAAGAGTCATGTACGCAATCTTCACAATATTTTTGCAAGAGGATATTTTCACGGCTCGAAAGCATGACCTCGGTAGCAAAGTCAAGATGTTGCACAATAATAAGCATATGACACAAAATTACAGAATAAGACAAAAGATATAGCAGACCAGATCATCATTTACACACACACATATAAACAAGCAGCAGCAATTTACCTAGGAAGATCACATCCATGTGGCTTCCATCTCCAATTAAGATACTGTGAGTCAGGCCTACCATTGCTCTGGCAATCAAAAGCCTCATCAACATAAGGGCAAGACCCTGCCTTATATATTGGGTGCTTCTCATCTTTCACCCATCTTCCCTTGTAAAGATCACAACTCTGTCCTCCTACTTTAAAATCAGAGTCAACCAACTTCTCCTCATTTCTTGCAGAATCAACCACTTGTTTTGTTGTTGCATTCGATGCATCCTCATAAACAGGTGCTGAGCTTTTCTCAACTAAATTATCAGAAATTGGTGTTTCCTTAGAAGCTTTTAAGCCTTCAGTGCCTTTAGATTCTGATGGAATTGGTGTTACTTTCTGATCCAAACTATCATCAAAATCAGATTTTGACAAAATGGGTGTCTCAGATTTTGCCTTTAGGACTTTGGTATCACCAAATGGAGTTGTTAGTGTATTATCAAGAAGTTCAGTATCAGCAAATCTTGGAGAAAATAGTGAAGGGGATTGAGAAAGGACGTCTCTGTAAAGAGAAAGTTTAGGTTCAAGAGCTCTTTTGCTGAAATAGAAGAGACTTGAAAGGAACAAAAGGAGAAGGAAAATTGTTGAAAGTATATAGCGGTTGTTGTTTTTCTTCTTGGGAGGTAAAGAAGAAGATGCCATATGGAGGAAAGTAATACGGCATTCTGATTTTCTTCCGATCTATAAGGGCTTTTGCTCTGAGTATATTTTTAGTCATTCCATTTCCCTATTTGCCTGATTTGCCTCTATTCTCGCAAGACAAGAATGTGGGGCCACAATGATAAGAAAAATGGAACATAAAATAGAACCTTCCTATATTTTTTATGGCCTGTTTGGCCATAAAAAAAATTCGGATTTTTTTAGTTTTTTCGGAATCAGTATTCGGCCAATAGATTTCAAATTTCACTTGAAGTTAAATTTGTTGAATTTTTCAAAAATTTAATAAACTCCAAAAGACTGTTTTTCAAAATTTTCACTTTAAATCACTCGCCAAAATTCAAATACATCTCCAAATTGTATTCATGTCCAAACACAACTCTAATTTTTAAATATCATTTTTTCTCGATTTTTTTTTTGAAATTCTTATGTCCAAACGCCACTTATGCACTCACACTATAAAAATATATTTACATAATTAAATTACTTTAAAATAACTGTAATTTAGTCTTTTTATAATAAGCATTGATCGGTAACATGAAAAAAAGGTAGATAACCTTATATAACAAGTCAAAATGTTTTGATCGTGAAAATACTTTGCTTTGTCTCTATATATATAAAAAAAAATTAAATACATTACTACTTCCGGAGGTTTTTTTTTTTTCTTCCATAAGGGCTTATAGTTTACTGATTTAAGTATTGGAAAAAGTGCAATATTAAATAGAAAATGAGTGTACTGTTTTATTTATAAAGTCAAGACATGAATATAGTAGACATGAAAAAATGCAATATTTACAACCTTCGATAACAATAGACAATAATACAGCCGTTTGTGAAGCAGTCCTGGATTGGGAGGGAAAAAACTCAATCATGCTCGGTTGTATACTACTATAAACGTATGACATATTTATTTTAAATACACAGTTTTAATTTTAATTTACCACTTAACCTTTTAAAATTAATACGATTTGAAGCGAATATCGACTGTCAATAAATTTGTATACGGTCAAAATCAGGGAAGGCCGATTTTAAGGCTTCTATGGCGTTTCAAGCCCGCCCTCGATGGGCTCGAAGCACAGTCTAAGGCCCGTCCCCGAAGCACTCGCCTCGAGAGGGTATATCGAAGACTCATCACAGTGTACCTCGAGGCAGTATAAAAATCGACGACCGTCATGGAAAGGCGAAAAATTCGTGAGGGCATGTGATTAGAACTGACAGAGTATGCAAGAAAAAGTATAAATCCGTACTAAGCCATTATACAGCTGTACCAATAGCATTTCCTTGTCATTATTAGACATGTACTATGTTGGGATTCCCCCCTCCTATATAAAGGGGACCTTGTCATTTTGTAAGGACACATGAATATGGAATACAACTTCTTTTCTTGCCTAAACGTATTCAACAATTACTCTACAGATTTATTGCTTGTTCATTTATTGTTCTTCATTTATTGCCCATTATTAAACGCAAAAGGCTACCTTTGAGGCCTTCGATATCATTGTTTCTTCATCAATTGTTCATTGCTAACTGCCCTAACTAGACTTTGAGGCCCCTTGTTCCAGCCAGCTCGAGGCCCAATCTTGCGACAACATTGGTTTGCATATCTTATTCTCTTTACTTATACTTAGCATCTACAGCCAAATAGCTAGTATTGAAATAAATCACATATTTTTAGAACCACAAAATCAAATATAATTGTTAATACCATTTTCAAGGTAAACAGTTTGGCGCCCACCGTGGGGCTAAAAATAATAGTGATTGTTTTGGTGCTGGTTTTCTGAAAACACAAGTTATCCTTCACACTTTTTCTTGTCCAAGAATCTTTGATTTCAGGTCAAAAAATGTCTAACTCAGCAAATGCACACGAAAATAACGGTATTGGGCTTCATGGAGAGAACAGTGAAGATGCCGGTGTACCACCGCAAAACCCTGGTGTGGCACCAGCACAAATCCACATCAACGTGGGCTCACGCAACGCTATGCATGTCGATGTGAGCTCTCATACCAACGGAAGTGTGCGCGGGGAAAACCAACATGAAGCGCAGGGGACTCCAGCTCGGAGGAAAGAGAAGTTAGCCTTCAAGCCATTTTTGAGATGTTACAAGCACAACAAGTGGCTATTGCTCAGCTACAAAGTCAACAAAAAACTCCAAACACAGCAGCACTGGAAACGGCTCCTCGAGTCGAGCAGGCACTAGAGAGATCGAGTGACAACGGGTCAGCAACAAACCCCGCTATTATGAAGATGCTCGAGAACCTCACCAAAAGGATTGAGGCAGGAGAAAAGAAGATAGAGGCTAACGAAAAAGGTGGAGACTTATAACTCGAGGGTCGATCAGATCCCGGGCGCACCCCCGATTCTGAAGGGTGTATATTCAAAGAAGTTCGTGCAGAAACCATTCCCATCAAGTGCGGCTCCGAAGCCCATCCCGAAGAAATTCAAAATGCCCGATATCCCGAAATATAACGGGACCACGAACCCTAATGAGCACATTACCGCTTATACTTGTGCTGTAAAAGGGAATAACTTAAAGGATGACGAGATTGAATCCGTCTTGTTGAAGAAATTTGGAGAAACACTGTCGAAGGGGGCCATGATGTGGTATCACAACCTACCCCTGAACTCGATAGATTTGTTTGCCATGTTGGCAGATTCTTTTGTGAAGGCACATGCCGGTGCCATCAAGGTTGCTACAAGGAAGTCCGACGTCTTCAAGATCAAACAAAGGGAGAACGAGATGCTGAGGGAATTTGTATCTCAGTTCTAGATGGAGCGAATGGAATTACCACCGGTCTCCAATGACTGGGAAGTGCAGGTCTCCACTCAAGGCTTGAACGAGCGAAGCTCGATAGCTTCGAAGCAGCTAAAGCAGAACTTGTTTGAGCATCCCTTCATGACTTGGGCAGATGTACACAACAGATACCAATCGAAGATCAGGGTCGAGGATGACCAATTGGGAGCCCCCTCTAGCTCAGTATATCCAAGCAAGCTCCTAGCAAAGGAATCAAAGTCTACAGAAAGAGAGTCGAGATCAAGCAAAGAAAGGTATCAGCCATACTTCAAAGATCGAAGAGACACTTCGAGGAGGAATATACCTCGAAATGATCGAGGCCAAAATTCTCGGGGACTTATGAGCAAGAACGGATTTGACAGCCATTCGAGGCCAATAGAGGCACCCCAATTGTCGGAATACAACTTCAACATCGATGTCTCGGACATCATATCAGCCATGGGTAGAATTAGGGATACTAGATGGCCAAAGCCCGCACAGTCAGATCCTTCACGAAGGAACCCCAGCTTGATGTGCGAATACCATGACATTCACAGTCATAGGACACCTTCGAGAATTCCTCAGCAATCGAGCCAAGAACCACTTTTGAGAAAGAGAGGCGAACAGAAAGAATGGACCAGAAGAACTTCTGCACATCATTCACATGATCGTTGGAGGAACCGATGTCCCATAGGGACCCATGTTCAAATGGGCCAAAGTGTCCGTCGCAATGGAAAGGCAAACTCGGAGCTATATACCCGAGGACGCCCTTACATTTAGAGAAGAAGACATCAAGGCCTTGTCCCAACCACATAATGATGCACTGGTAATTTTTTTTCTTTTGAATAATGTTCAAATTAAACGTGTGCTCGTGGATCCAGGTAGCTCGGCCAACATAATCAGGTCGAAGGTGGTGGAGCATCTCGGACTGCTCGATCAGATCACACTCACCTCTCGAGTCCTCAATGGATTCAACATGGCAAGCGAGACAACGAAGGGAGAAATCATCCTCCCAGTCAACGTGTCTGGTATAGTTCAAGACACCAAGTTTCATGTCATTGAAGGTGACATGAGGTACAATGCCTTACTTGGAAGACCGTGGATACACAACATGAGGGCGGTACCATCAACTCTTCATCAGATGATGAAGTTCCCAACAAAAGATGGTATAAAAGAGGTGTACGGAGAACAACGTGCAGCAAAGGAGATGTTCGCAGTAAACGACATGGCACCAACATCGACTCTCCCCATCCAGGATAAGTTAGGAAACAGGCTGACCCCCGAGGAACAGGTGGTCTGTGAGCATTCGAACGAAGATGACGAAGAAGACTTCCTCACTCCTCGGACCTTCGTTGCCCCCGAGGAGTCGGATACAACAAAATCAACAGTCGAAGAACTCGAACAGGCCGTTTTGATCAAGCATCTTCCAGATCGAAAGGTATACCTGGGAACGGGATTAACCTCCGAACTCAGGAAAAAACTCATCCAATTTCTTATTAACAACATTGATTGCTTTGGTTGGTCCCATTTAGACATGACAGGGATCCCGCCTGAAATAACCACCCATCGACTAAGTGTCGATCCCAGGTTCAAACCAGTGAAGCAAAAAAGGAGGCCTCAATCCGAGGTAAAATATGCGTTCATCAAAGACGAGGTAACAAAACTCCTCAAAATAGGATCAATTAGGGAGGTAAATACCTCGAATGGTTGGCTAATGTGGTAGTGGTTCCCAAAAAAGGAAATAAATTAAGAATGTGGGTAGATTATAAAGACTCGAATAAAGCATGCCCCAAAGACTCATTCCCATTGCCCAACATCGATCGCTTGATCGATACCACGGCCGGCCACGAGATCCTCACTTTTCTCGACGCCTACTCCAGGTATAATCAAATTCAAATGAACCCAGAGGACAGGGAAAAGACTTCGTTCATCACGAAGTATAGTACATACAGTTAGAATGTAATGCCCTTCGGGATAAAAAATGCAGGAGCTACGTACCAAACGCCTAGTTAATAAGATGTTCGAACATCAAATAGGACAATCTATGGAAGTTTACATTGATGACATGCTAGTTAAGTCCCTGCACGCAGAGGACCATTTGACTCATTTGCAGGAAATATTCGATATCCTTAGAAGCTACAACATGAAGCTCAACCCCGAGAAATGTGCCTTCGGAGTAGGATCGGGCAAATTTTTAGGCTTCATGGTATCGAATAAGGGGATCGAGATCAACCCCGACAAAATCAAGGCCATTGAAGAAATCACAGTGGTGAACAATGTGAAGGCCGTACAGCGGCTGATCGGGCG